TTCACGGTCGTAGTCGCTCCTGTGTTGCAGTTATCAGTCGAGTGTATGCAAGCCGACGTTGTGCGTGATCGAGACAAGACTGAGTAGCAACAGTGTGAGGAGGTGGATAAAGTCTCAGTCACAAGTAGCAAGTCAACTGTTCAATGTGAATCATCCATCGAAATAGGCGTTACTGTCTAGATAGGCGGTTTCATATACAAGTGGGCGTGACTGCCAAGGTAGGTAGATTATTAAATTAGTAATGAAAGGTGGGGAAAGTAGAATTTACTGCGCATGCATCGGAATTTACTTTCATACGTAGTATTTTCAATAATATGTGTGGCAAGTATTATTTGACTTAAAATAGAGGTGTAGTATTTCTCGAAGTATTTTTTTAAAGTGTTGTACTCATGCTTTTTTTTAAAATCAATTTTATATCTGTTACCGACAAAGTATGATATCCGGCATTATTTATAATGCCTAAAATTAGCTGGCAAAGTATGAAATGATTTATATTTCACACATTGCCTAGGCATTATATATGATGTCAGATGTTATTTAGGCAAAGTATGAAATAAACGTCCTGATGAGGTTATTATGTGAATGATGTGCATGTTACTGTGAATGACCGAAAACGGAGGTTGTTGATTTCCACCGGTGAGTGTTGACAATCACATAGTCGCTTTGGTGAATGCCCGAAATATTTATTACATCCGATTTGATATTAATTTATTCGTGGATATAATTACAATCATTCGATATTTTAATACTTACTGACGATAGATTAGAAGAAACATCAGTGTAGGGTATACCGGGCAAATGTATACCGGGCAGTGGCCCTTGACCTTAAAAAAACATCAGTGTAGGGTATACCGGACAAATGTACACCGGGCAGGGCAATTCTATACTATGATTAATCTTTCTAGATTTTACTTAGATTTTCTTACCTCAACTTCATGAAAATACATAAAGAGATACAAAAAATATTTCAGACACTATATGAAATCAGTTATGATTTTAAAAAAATGTAATCAGAGTGTAAAAAATATTATCTTTAAAAACATCCGATTAATTTAAAACTTATTAGAAATGTATAAGTTAATGTATATATAAATCCAAATTGGTAAATGGCGCCATAGTTTTAATTTTAAAAATCTGCTTGCAGAAAGAATAGGAGCTTATGTGTCTTCAAAGAAAATATTGCAATCGGATTCACTGTATAGTTCCTGCGCCGAAATGATGCGCAGTAAATTCTACTTTCCCCACCTTTGAAATAAATGGAATGATCCAGTCTCATTCAGATCCAATGTGGGAATCAAGAGCTACTATTATTTTTATAAACAAATATTCATAACGATTACGATAAAAAATTATTAAATCGATTCTCAGCAGACATACAAAAGCATTTGTTCAGCTTAAGGACGATTTTAATGATAGTTAAGATTGACAAAAGTTTAATCTCGTTAAAAAATCCTTGCAAATAAGATTAGCAAAGGTTTAATTTAGACAAAATTTTGATGCAGAAGTTCAGAATCAGCTAGATTTTAGGCCTTGAAAGGATCAGTATAGCTTCAACAATGTATTAACCATTCATTTTGTCGGTAGAGATGTTTCTGTATTATCCGAGTAACATTTCCCAAGAAATAAAGAGTTGCAAATGCTGAGAATTGTGGAAGCAAAAGCAAGCATACTGAAGTAGAAGAATGCGCTATGTCCACCTAAGCTATCAAAACCGAGCCCAGCCAAAACGTATCCAACGCCAGCTCCAAGAAATAGAATTTCGTCATTTTAGAAATTGTTGAATAATTTTTAAAAAAATCAATATTTATTTATCAAAATTGGAAAAGTATATAATTTATGAATTCGTCATAGTAAAAAAAAATATAATTTTAGATTTAGATTTCACTCGAGCTTCGAATTTATGTTATAAAATTAGGACTTAACAGTTTTCTTAAAATATAAATAATAAGGATAATAATGAAATGCACGTAGGGAGTGAATGCTCTTAGATAATCGAGACCGCATTTTTTCCGAATGGTACACTAGCGTACAAAACAATCAAACTCAATATTATAAATCCTTTATTCGAAATGTATTAAAATTCTTTGTATTTTTATTTCTTAACTTGTTTAATATGTTAATCAATAAGGAAGTAGAGTCAGTGCTTTGAAAGCTGCTTTAAATCAAATAAAATTTTTATATCAGACAAATAATATATGAATTGTGTTTTCGTTCCGTGTTCAGCGGTTTTCACACAAAATAAGTATTGGATGAATTTCTTTGATTTTAATAATAATATTTAGATAAAATAAAATTAATTTTAACTAATAAGTTTAGATTTTGTATCTTTAATTACTGAATCCTAATTATAATTTTATGTGTATACTATTACTTTAGTATTGAGATTTGTTATTATAAAATTTGTTCATACAGGATCCGAAGTATGAAAAAAAAGAAACATTCTATTGAGCTGCATGCAAAGATTTAAATTTTATCTGAAGAAGGTTACATCTACGGTTAACTCTTTAAATAGCAAAATGTTTTAAAATTCTGAAATTCTGGTTGAAAATTAAAAGGGTTGAAAATTAAAAATACTGATTTGTACCATAGTTCCAAACTCACATACACCAGCTTTCTATACACGCCAAGAGCTCGATCTCTTTTTTTCCAGTTATTTTTTCCCCAATACTTCAGAAGGACAATATAGAAACATGTTAATCCAACGTATGAACTCAATGCTAAACGTGTGGATGTTGTTAATTTTAGTGAAATTAAAAGTTACTTTAGACGAATCTTAATTTGTGTCCAATGCTATTAATTTTTTTAATGAGAAGTATACAAAATCTTTATTAGAATCACAAACAAAACGTTGTTATATACGTGCCAATAAAACAAAAACGTAGGTAAACAAGACGTATTTTGATGCATAGANAGTAAATGTTAAACTGATACAAGTTCCAGATAGAATCATGATGCAAGCATAAAGCCAAAACTGATATGACTTGATATCATCCACAACCAGATCTTTTCTTGAATTATCCTTAAAACTAGCAATGCAAGGGATAGTACTGTTAAAACTCTCACGTGCAACTGATGGCGTATTTAAAGAGTATAGGTGGAAAAAGTTCTTTTTTGTCAATTTAATTTGTGATAAAAACTTTTCTGGTTTGATGGAAAGCATTGAACAGCAGAAATGCTGTTTAATTCCTAACTCAACAGCATCATTTTTCATGTTATTTTCAAGTTCAAAACAAAACATTTCGTCAGTTAAGTTCAACTGGCCAAAGCAAACCATGTCGGGATGGTATTTTAAGAAATCATTTGCTTCTTTCGAGTGCATCATTGTGTATATGTTTTTCGATGGTAAGTTGAAACGCTGCGAAAAAAAAGAGTCGCAAATCGTACTTTTACGCAATAAAATTATGTTGATCTGTGTTATATTTTTATTATCTTTGAAGTATTTCAATGGATTTGGAGTTTGTTGTGGGTTATTGATTGTTGGAATAGCTAGAAAAGATAAGAAAAAAAGACAGTTGATAATAATTAGGAAACTCATCATTGCTTTCATTCTCTTGAAATAATCTGCTACATATCCTAAAGCTGTTTTAGATAACACAGTGATGAACAGTTGAACGGTGAGAACAATTGCAAAAGAAGTTGCAGAAATTCCGATCCTATCCTTTGCAATCAGAGGCATATAAGGCAACATAGATCCCATAGCTGTAAATTTAATTAAGTACACAATTAAAAATAAATTTAATAAAATAAATAAATAAATTTAAATTTAAATAAAATAAAAAATTTAAAATCACAACAAAAAATTTAAATTCATAAAAATTACAGCGCAGATTCCTTACAGAAATTTTAAAATGCATGTTTCAAAAAGTTCAATAAATATTCCTTGAAGGAAGTTTTAAATTTAAATTCAAAATTAAATAATTTATCAAATTAATAATAATTTTGTACTGAAATTCAATCCAGTTTCTTTACATTTAGTTCTAAAATGTAGTTAGTAATAAAATACAATATGAAATATAAATTTTTTTCTATTTGTTTTAAAATTTAATGAAATTTTATTAAATGAGAGCTACAATTTAAGTCTGTAATAAATATTCACTCAATTCCTACTCACTCAATAATTATACTCAAATTCAATTAATGTATTTTAAAGTTAAACATAGAAATTAAATAAAAAATTCGAAATCGTAATAAAATTACAACTTAATTCATTGAATGTAGTAAAAAAAATTTAGTTAGTAATTAAATTTAACACAACTTCATGAACTGAATTTAAAGTCGTAATTAAATTTAATAAAATTTCCTTTGAGAGGCAAAATGTTTGAAGATTTGTTGTTGTCGTTCTTTTACGTCGCACTAGAGCTGCACAATAGGCTATTGGAGACGGTCTGGGAAACATCCTTGAAGATGATCTGAAGACATGCCATCACAATTTTGATCCTCTGCAGAGGGAATGGCACCCCCACTTTGGTAGTCCGATGACCTACATGCGAATTTTGAAGATTTGATTTCGTGATTTGAAGCAATGCGGATCTAAATAAATCTGTGCCCATACAAATTTTACAAATGAAATGCATTAAAAAATTTATACAAATATAGTTACGTTCGCAATTCTTATGCTCTCTAAGGTCTACAGTTTCGTAAGGGGTGGGAGTGTTTTTCTTTTAATTTCCTTTGATACACTGTATTAAAAAAAAAGTTCTTTGAAATCGATAAAAAATGGGTCGAAATAACTACGTAAGAAATAATAGCCGAATTTAAAGACCTCATGTATTCGAACTTGAATAGCATATGATCACTTTCGAGCAAAATGCACAACCTCAAAAGTGATGTGGTGGAAGAAATATGCGAGAGAGATGTTTGTTGGCTGCTTACAGGGTTCGAACCGAGAACTTCATGGTTCGCAGTAAGGGCTTGAAATTTACATACTGTAAGTCATTAAGTCTAACATTGCATCTTTTGCCCACCTTAATCCAGTCCAAAGTACAACATTGATGCTGTAATCTTTGCCATAATTTTTCTATCTTAATTTATAAATATTTTGGGCTAGAAAAATTTTAATATGTAACTAAAAGGTGACAAAATAAACCATGAAGAAAACCATTATATAACGTTGAGTTTCATTTCTCTAAAAAAAAACGAAAAATGTAGTTTAAACCTGATCTGTAGACCAGGAAACCCCCTTGACATTGTAACATTTTTTTTGTTGGAAAATATGTACCAGAAATGTTATCGACAAAAGTCAACACCAGCAGCATCTTAATTATGGTTAAGATTAACAGAGGTTCAACATCAATAGGATTTTTCTTATGTCATACATAAGCTTTTGTTCATCGTATACAAGATTTTAATGATAGTTAAGATTGGCAAAAATTTAATCTCATTAAAAATTCCTTGCAAAGATTAGCAAAGGTTTAACATAGACAAAATTTTAATGCAGAAGTTCAGAATCAGCTAGAATTTAAGCCTTGAAAGCATCAGCATGGCTTCAACAAAGTATTAACCATTCATTTTGTTGGTAGGGATGTTTCTGTATTATCCGAGTAACATTTCCCACGAAATAAAGTGTTGCAAATGCTGAGAATTGTGGAACCAAAAGCAAGCATACTAAAGTAGAAGAATGTGCTATGTCCACCTAAGCTATCAAAACCGATCCCAGCCAAAACGCATCCAACGCCAGCTCCTAGAGATAGAATTTTGTCATTTTAGAAATTGCTAAATAATTTTAAAAATATCAATATTTATTCATCAAAATTGGAAAAGTATATCATTTATGAATCCGTTGTCACATATGACAATAAGATTATTTCACTGTTTGTTCAAAATAAATATTCATATGTTTAAATTTACAAAATGACTTTTATTTACAGGAATTTTAAATACGATATATTTATTTTTTCATGGAACATAGAGAGTTACCATAAGCGAAAACTAAAGTAAAGCAACAAAAATTAAGTGGAAGTAGTAGTAGTTATAGTCACGTGATATTAACTATAATAATGTATTACAATCTCTAACATACTCCCACCTTGCAAGGCTGGGCTTGTTGAACTTTGCAACCAAAATTTTACGAAAGTTGGAACTTTATACTAACAAGAGCAAAAAATACAAAGAATGTTCACAAGTTCAATCGAAAAGGAATTTTGATGATTCTTCCCGACTTAGTTTTAGGAAAATAATTCATCTCAAAGGCTTCACTGTTTTCTACAAAAGTGTCAGTTTTTCTAGCAGCTTTTAAGACCTCAATAGCAGTGTTGGTAGACACTTCTAATGGGTAAAGCCTTTGAAATGAACGGATCCTTTCACCCTTATTGGCCCTCAGTCTTGCAACTCTAGGAATACCATCTTTACCAGGAAAAATTTCTAAAATAACTCCAATTGGCCAATCAATTCCTTTGAGATTATAGCTACCAATCAATATTACTTGTCCTTTCGTGATCGAATTAGAAAATTCTTTTTAGGTTTCAGCACAAGTAGTTCAAGATATTCCGATCTGACTCTATTTTTTAAATCTTTATGCAATTTTTGTCTATATCTGAGTCCTCTGTTTAATGATCTTTGCTCAACATCGTCTGTATCTGGAGTATTGCTGTCATGAACGTCTTGCAAGAACATCGATGGAGAAAGCGGTTTGAGAGATTCATGCTTTGATACATAGGTTAACGGTCATGTGAATTCACAATTCAATGTGAATTTACAGTCTACTAACACTGTCTCCATCTCCTTATGAGAAAGACAAGATTTTCCTAGTGCTCTTCTCAAAAGATCTTTTGGAATTTGAATCAGTCTCTCCCACCATCCTCCCCAACAACACGCTGTAGGTGGGTTAAACTTCCATTGATAGAATTGGAAGCTCCATATTTTTGTAAACGGTTCCAGTCAACACGCTTTAATGAATTGGTTGTTTCGGTAAAGTTTGTGCCATTATCACTGTAGATGGTTGATGGCCTACCTCTGCTTGCTATAAACCTTCTTAATGCCATCCAAAACGCATCAGTAGAGGCAGACATAACGAGCTTAAAATGCACTACACGATAGATGGCACAAGTAAATATCATTATCCAACTTATGTCATATTAAAAGAAAAGATAACCTTAGATTTAGATTTTAATCGAGCTTCGAATTTATGTTATATAATTAGGATGTGCTTACTTAACAGTTTTCTTAAAATATAAATAATAATGATAATAATGAAATGCATGTAGGTAGTGAATGCTCTTAGATAATCGAGACCACATTTTTTCCGAATGGTACACTAGCGTACGAAACAGTCAAACTCAATATTATAAATCATTTATACGAAATGTATTAAAATAAAGTGTAATTTTATTTCTTAACTTGTTTAGTATGTTAATCAATAAGGAAGTAGAGTCAGTGCTTTTAAAGCCACTTTAAATCAAATACAATTTTTATATCAGACAGGTAATATTTGAGTTGTGTTCTTCCTTCCGTGTTCAGAGGTTTTCGTACAAAATAAGTATTGGATGAATTTCTTTATTTTTAATAATAATATTTAGATAAAATAAAATAAATTTTAACTAATAAGTTTAGGTCTTGTATCTTTAATTGTTGAATCCTAATTGTAATTTTATGTGTATACTATTACTTTAGTATTGAGATTTGTTATTATAAAATTTGTTCATACAGGATCCGAAGTATGAAAAAAAAAGAAACATTCTATTGAGCTGCATGCAAAGATTTAAATTTTATCTGAAGAAGGTTACATCTACGGTTAACTCTTTAAATAGCAAAATGTTTTAAAATTCTGAAATTCTGGTTGAAAATTAAAAGGGTTAAAAATCAAAAATACTGATTTGTACCATAGTTCCAAACTCACATACACCAGCTTTCTATACACGCCAAGAGCTCGATCTCTTTTTTTCCAGTTATTTTTTCCCCAATACTTCAGAAGGACAATATAGAAACATGTTAATCCAACGTATGAACTCAATGATAAACGTGTGGATGTTGTTAATTTTAGTGAAATTAAAAGTTACTTTAGACGAATCTTAATTTGTGTCCAATGCTATTAATTTTTTTAATGAGAAGTATACAAAATCTTTATTAGAATCACAAACAAAACGTTGTTATATACGTCCCAATAAAACAAAAACGTAGGTAAACAAGACGTCTTTTGATGCATAGAGAAATATTCAAAAACATAGTTATGAAAAAATTTCACTAAGCATTATGAATGATTCTCTATCTTTTATCACATAAGAATTCATAAAAGTGGAATGAATAGTTTCAATTTTTTTGGTGCAACAAGGTTGAAAAATAGGATTCCATAGAAAACGCTTTTTGGAGTAAGTATATTTTTTTCCTTAGGAAAAAATCGATATCTGAATTGAGAATTCCCCCAAATCAATTTGTGATTTATTACCGTTATTAATCTATTTCTACTTACCTAATCCTTCGTGAGTCGAAAAAAGAATAGACTGAGTCGTAGCTTCTGTTCCTGGTTTAGCACTAAGTTTTCCAAATGAGGCTATTGCAGGATAGAATATTCCATACGTGAAGCCATGAGTAATCTCCATTGGTAGCACCAGCCATGGATTATGAAAAAAGCTGTACCACAAAAAACGAACAGCATATGCGAAAAGGGACAAAGACACTAAATTGAAGTGCCCCATTTTTCTTATAAACCATCCTGAAAAGAACATGAATGGTATTTCGCCAGCAAAACATTGCACATAAGGAATCAAGCCACAGAGAAATGTACTTGCTCCCAATGTGGACATAAACCATATTAGATAATACCAAATTACACCAGCCCATACGCCATTTATAAAAACTCCAGTATTGAATGCGAGAAAAGTTCTAGATTTGAGTACTATACCGACATCTTTTGCTAAATTTTGAGAAAATTGGGGTAAGACTAGATCCATTTTATACAGATTCCAGATAGTAATGCTTTGTAAGCACACCATAAGTAGCCAAGTTGAATAAAAATTATTTGTAAGGTCACATAAAAGTCCTCCTAAAGGAGCGAAAATACCCCAACTTATAGCAGAAAATAATCTTTGGCGACCAAAATCTCTATTGTATTTTTGTGCGCTCTCGTAACAAATGGTATCCGACAAAGTAAATGTTGAACTGATACAAGTTCCAGATAGAATCATGATGCAAGCATAAAGCCAAAACTGATATGTCTTGATATCATCCACAACCAGATCTTTTCTTGAATTATCCTTAAAACTAGCAATGCAAGGAATAGTACTGTTAAAACTCTCACGTGCAACTGATGGCGTATTTAAAGAGTATAGGTGGAAAAAGTTCTTTTTTGTCAATTTAATTTGTGATAAAAACTTTTCTGGTTTGATGGAAAGCATTGAACAACAGAAATGCTGTTTAATTCCTAACTCAACAGCATCATTTTTCATGTTATTTTCAAGTTCAAAACAAAACATTTCTTCAGTTAAGTTCAACTGGCCAAAGCAAACCATGTCGGGATGGTATTTTAAGAAATCATTTGCTTGTATCGAGTGCATCATTGTGTATATGTTTTTCGATGGTAAGTTGAAACGCTGCGAAAAAAAAGAGTCGCAAATTGTACTTTTACGCAATAAAATTATGTTGATCTGTGTTATATTTTTATTATCTTTGAAGTAATTCAATGGATTTGGAGTTTGTTGTGGGTTATTGATTGTTGGAATAGCTAGAAAAGATAAGAAAAAAAGACAGTTGATAATAATTAGAAAACTCATCATTGCTTTCATTCTCTTGAAATAATCTGCTACATATCCTAAAGCTGTTTTAGATAACTCAGTGATGAATAGTTGAATGGTGAGAACAATTGCAAAAGAAGTTGCAGAAATTCCGATCCTATCCTTTGCAATCAGAGGCACATAAGGCAACATAGATCCCATAGCTGTAAATTTAATTAAGTACCCAATTAAAAATAAATTTAAGGAAATAAATAAATAAATTTAAATTTAAATAAAATAAAAAATTTAAAATCACAACAGAAAATTTAAATTCATAAAAATTACAGCGCAGATTCGTTACAGAAATTTTGAAATGCATGTTTCAAAAAGTTCAATAAATATTCCTTAAAGGAAGTTTTAAATTTAAATTCAATATTAAATAATTTATCAAATTAATAATAATTTTGTACTGAAATTCAATCCAGTTTCTTTACATTTAGTTCTAAAATGTAGTTAGTAATAAAATACAATATGAAATATAATTTTTTTTTATTTGTTTTAAAATTTAAGGAAATTTTATTAAATGAGAGCTACAATTTAAGTCTGTAATAAATATTCACTCAATTCCTACTCACTCAATAATTATACTCAAATTCAATTAATGTATTTTAAAATTAAACATAGAAATTAAATGAAAAATTCGAAATCGTAATAAAATTACAACTTAATTTATTGAATGTAGTAAAAAAAAATTTAGTTAGTAATTAAATTTAACACAACTTCATGAACTGAATTTAAAGTCGTAATTAAATTTAATAAAATTTCCTTTGAGAGGCAAAATGTTTGAAGATTTGTTGTTGTTGTTCTTTTACGTCACACTAGAGCTGCACAATGGGCTATTGGCAGAGCCAGATTATACCTTTCGTAGACCCTAGGCACAGAGCCGGATTATACCTTTCGTAGGCCCTAGCATAGCCGTTTTTGGATCCAACCCTCCTTCCCCCACTCCTCCTCTCTTTT